CGCGACCGATCGCGACCGACGGCGACCCCCCCCCAAACCCCCGGCCCCCCCCGCGCCGAGCCCGGCCAATGGTCCCGCCCAGCCGGGGCCGGGCGCTGATTGGCTGAGGGAGCTGTCAATCAGATCAGAAAGGGGAGGGGCGGGGCGCTCTCCGCAGTTGTCATGGCAACAAGGGATGGGGAACGGGGATTTGAAGGGGGGGTTTGGGGGTTTTGTGGCATTTTTGGTGGATTTTGAGGGGATTTTTGGGGATTTGGGGGGGATATTGGGGATATCGGGCGACGTGAGGGGGTTTTAGGGCGATTTTGGGCAGGAGTTTTTGGGAATCTCTTCGGGAAAATTTTTTTGGGAAATTGGAGGGCACGGTGGCCGGTACAGGGAGCCGCATCCCCAGCACATCTGGGGACACATCTGGACAGGTGCGTGACACCTCGGTGTCCCCAAAAAATCCTCCAAAATCCCCCCAAAATCCCCTCGCTCCCCCTTGGAGGACCCCGCGCTCACCACCGCCCTCAGGACAAAATGGCGGCGCCCGCGCGGCCTCTCCTCATCTTTATGATCCCCACGCCCCGCCCACCTATTGGTCGATACCGCCTCCGCTGAGCGCTCGGATTGGCTGTCAGTGGAAAAGGGGGCGTGGCTTATTTCACCCGGATATATAAAGCGACGCTGGCGGCCGCGCCATTCTTTCCGTGCCCGCGAACGCGGCCGAACTGAGGTGAGGCTGCACCCGCCGCCGGTACCGGGGATTCCCTCGGGGGGTTCCCCCCGCTTTTCCCGGAGCTTTCTCGGTGCTACCGGAGCCTCCCCGGGATTTACCGGCAGCGCCGGCGCCGCGTTGAGGCCTCGGCGAGGCTTCGAGGCCTACGCGGGGCTCTGAGTGCGCAGGCGCGGCCTTCCATAGCGGGCGGGGGGTGGGGGGGGCGCGCATGCGCATCGCGCGCCACGTGCGTGTGGGGAGTGGGGGGGGCGCCTCGTTTTTTTATATTTTTTGGGGGAATTTCGGGGAATTTTTGGGAATTTTTGGGAATTTTGGATCGGTGGAATATCGCGATACGGCCTCGTTGCAGTCGCGATGCCCGTGGCCAGGAGCTGGGTGTGTCGCAAGACCTACGTGACCCCGCGGCGCCCCTTCGAGAAGTCGCGGCTCGACCAGGAGTTAAAACTGATCGGTAAAATAATGGGAAAAAATTAAATTTTTACGGGGTTCGTGAGGGGAAAAAGTGAGAATTTGGATGCGGAAAGGGGGTTTGAGGGGGGATTAGGGGACTTTAAGGGGGAGAAATGGGGTTTTGGGGGGAAAAATGGGATTTTTGGGTGAAAAAATGAGGGTTTGGGGGGTAAAAATGAGGATTTGAGGGGAAAAAGCGGATTTTTAGGGGGAAGAAATTGGGAATTTGAGGAAAAAGGGGGAGGGAAAAAATTGGATTTTGGGGGAAAGATTTGGGGAGGAAAAAGGGTTTTTTGTGGGGGGGGAAAAATTGAGATTTTAGGGGATGAAAATTGGGGTTTTGGGGAGGGAATGACAGAAAAAAATTGGATTTTTAGAGGGGAAACGAGGGGAAAAATGGAAATTTTGGTGTTTCATGAGGGAAATAGGGGAAAAAATAGGGAAAATTGGGATTTTGGAAAAGAAATTTGATAAAGAAAAAGATTTTGTGGAAAATTGGGATTTTCGGGTAAAAGGAGAAGGAAAAAAATGGATTTTTTTAAGGAGAAATTGGAGGAAAAATATCGGGATTTTTGGGGAAAAAAAGGGATTTTGAGGGGAAAAAAAACCGATTTCGAGGTATAAATTGCTTTTTTGAGGTAGAAATTTAATTTTTGAGGTATAAATCGATTTTTTTGAGGCATAAACCCGAAAAAACCCGAACATTTCCGCGGCAAAAAATCCGATTTTCACCGGGTTTTTTTTGACGAGGAGCTTCCGGGGGGTTTTAAAATGAGGAAAATTCAGTAAATTAAATTTTTTTTTAGGGGAATACGGGCTGAGGAACAAACGCGAGGTGTGGAGGGTGAAATTCACGCTGGCCAAGATCCGCAAAGCCGCGCGGGAGCTGCTCACGCTGGACGAGAAGGACCCGCGGCGCCTCTTCGAGGGTGGGGAAAAATAAAA